CCGTTGAAAGGGAAAAGGGGCTGACTCGTGCAAGTACGTACACACATAAAGAAACCGAACGCGTTGAAATTCCGATTAAAATGAGGGAACAATGGGCCACCGGCGACGTCTCGCGAGATAATACATCTATAGTCGCACGTACCTTCTCCCGTGCCCTCCACGCACGTGTGCCATACCCCCCTCCAGCCCTTGTCTACCGAATCCGTCCCTCTTTCACTCCATGCTGTGCCCAATTGGCCGAAAAATGAATGGCCTACGGCTTTTCGTTCCTACGATAAGTAAAGACAAAAGACCGTCTACGTGTGTATCGGAAAAGCTGGTACACAAGTACGGGGGAGGACGGTGGATCGGGTGCTTCGTCGGTTTCCAGGAAAGTCCCATCCGAGTTGGCTACAGCTTTTGAATCTCAAAGACGATCAAAGTTGCCTCGTTAATGTAGATGGTCGAAAATCCGGCAGGACATTTCCCCATCCATGGCTTTATCACGAACCGTGAGGGGCTTTGATGGGCGAACTTGTTACCTTGACAAACACACGTGTATCCATTTATTTTTCGCAATTATTTTCTCTAAAAGTCGCGAAGCGTATAAGCGGATGAGTTTCGCGTCCAAGTTTACTTGAAAATTAATCATTGAAGTTTTATTTTTTTTTTGAGCGCAGGATATTTATAGTATAATGTGAGTCGTAAGTATGTTATTAAAGTGATGGAGTTAAAAACACTAGTATTCGAGTAAAACTGCACTGACGTATCGTTTTATGAATAGGTGAAAAACGTGCAATGAAGTAACTTTAGACCAATAATTGTAAGCTTTTTGAGGCCACTTCCATTCCACTTTCTGAACCTCCTGATCACCAAGAGCAGCGCAGCACGAAAAATTTCTCCTTTTCCTTATTCGTGCGAGTGCATATACCATACCGTACACTTACACACAAGATCACACAAGATAGTATAACTATCAGGCGTCGTGTCATGGAGGGCTACTGCCCTCATGGAAATTTTGTTTTACCTTCGAAAGAGCTTGCAGGTATTCCACCACCACTGTGTACGTGCCCACTGCTCAGTAACAGCTAACCCTGGGGAGAAGGTATCTAATTTGAATGTCGAAGAGCGAATTGATGTTATGTGACAATCGCAACACTGTATATCCACCTCACCCCCTTGTTTTGTTTCCTCGACACCATCCATCAACTCACCCCCTGTTTATGTATACAGTAGTAAAAGTGTTTGCACAAGGAAAAATAACTGGCGTGGCTTATAAAAAAAATTAACTAAAGTTAAACCGACAATCAATTCATTCATGTAAAAGACACAAAGGTGCAAATAACGAGAAAAAAAACATAGAATAATTGGATCAAAAAACTAATAGCAAAACGTATTCTACTTTCAAAAGGTACAACCGTATATTATGAACAATACAAGTGAAAAGCAAGTGATTGCCTTACGTGATTAGACGAGCTGTGCTAATATAATGTTAATGGGCTAGTTAGTTCTTTATGTAAATATCTACGCGAATTGGCCGCATGATTTTCTTGCTCGATTTTGTGGTAATGTACTGTTTGATTTGCTTTAAACGACTTGAGGATTGGATGTTCTTTTAATTTTCTTTTCTACTTAAAATTAGTAAAGTTGAAAGAGAAAAATAATTTTTGTTCGAATTAATTTTATGTTAGCAAAATGTTAATTTAGCTGTCGCGATGGTGGTCAGTTTAATAGTAATAATTTTATTTGGCAAATCCCGATAATTGTCGTTTCAGCTTTTTTTTAATCTTAATTCTAGATCTAAATGATATTTCACGTTGTGTACAAATACGTAAATATGTGGGTGTGCGTGTAAATAGAGATAGCGTGCTATAAATGACATCATGTAGACAGAGAAGTACTTCCAGCAAATTTTTTGTCTATTCACGGCGAGAGTGATGTGACCCATCTATGATATGATTTTTGATGTAATTTTCTGCCGCTCTATTTATGTAGTGCTCATCGCGTGACTGACTTGAATTATCACATTTGTGAACCATGGCCATTTGTCAAATTAAAAGATAATACGAGTGGGTGGTGCCATTTGGGTATCACATTAAAATAGCACTTTAATAATCACAAATCCATGGTTAAAAGGCTGTTCCTACCGACATGCCTCGTTAATATGCGTAGCAATACAATTCGGCGAAATATAATTTTAAACAATACAAGTACTGCTATGGATGACTCGGTGCACGAATTGGATTTTCAAATTAAAATAAAAGAAAATTTTTAAACATTGATTTAGAAATNAAAAAAAAAAAAAAAAATGGGCCGACGATCGTTCCCCCACTTCCCGGGAGACCTTTGAAAGTTTGTCCATAAAGTATTTATTTACGCGCTGTGAATTTTTTCACTCTCCAGTAAACAAACGATCAATTACACCAACGCACTCGTGCTACAGCCATTTTTTCGGCGCTGACCTGATTTATGGGTTTCCAAAACATCCGCTTGCCAAGTATAATGTACACACGCTCCCAGGCCGCATATTCGACAATCACACCAACGCCCGCCGCAACCTTTGAAACACATGCTTGGCACGTGCCCCATGTATACATGCACGAGGTTTGCTTATAAGGCTTTGCTCGTTTTTCCAAAAAACTTTTTCTCAAATTTCGTTCAAACAATCAATGCACGCGTACCAAATCCCCACCCAAAGCTCCACGTGTTTATGGCACCCACTTTGTAGCAGCATATACGCTTAGGCGTGTAAAGTAACGAGGGCGAATAATCGTCCTGATGCCGAGTGGGGGCTTATCCGAGCACGGGGACGTCAACCATCGTCACGCCACATGATCCGCACTTGTCTTGTGCTTCGCTCCTTAGGGGTAAACATCCACTACTTTGGGCGAACGGCAACGTGCTTTCGATTCCACATTACGTGCGGCTCTTTCTGCCACACACATGCGGGAGCCGCGAGATAGTCGCTTCTGGTATTACGCTTATCTGCGGCACTTGCTCTCTCGTGTACGTAGCTCTGACGATCCTGGGGTGTTTACCCTACCCCCTCGAGGAGGTAGACGGGATGCCGGGGGGGCTGTGCTACCCTTCGACCCCCTACTTTCAGGGCAGGATTTCCCCGCAAGCTGTTTTCTCTTGACTATATTTTTTTTCCATCTATAATGATAATAGACGCTTTCCACGGAATTTTTTTTCTATCTCTTGTACCTGTACCTCCCCAGTGATGTTCAATTGAATGTTTTTAGGTAGAGGGTGCGGTCTTTTGAAGACATCGAGCGCTTTCTGAATACATCTCTTGCATTATTCTTTCTACAAGTGTGAATTTATCCCAGATCAGTAGGAAGTTTTTTTTCGAATTTTTGTCTAAGTAAATAGCGTAAATTACACAAGTGATTGTTTCTCTTCTTGCTAACTTGATGGTGGATGAAATTCATTCTTGTGACTAACTTGAAAGCTGTTTTTCAAGTAAGCGCGTGCAGGGGAAAATTTACAATATTTCATTCCGTTGAGCTTTCAGATGAAAGCTAAAATTTAAATGGCGGTTAAAAAGAGAAATAAAAAATTGAGGTCCAATGAATGAGAAAATTTATCGAAACATTTGAACGAATATTCAGGCAGTTACAAAAGTCTTTGACATTGAAGGCTCGATCATAATGCCAAACCATTCACTCGTAACAGGGAGTGATATCAATGAACGTTACTTTTAATATTTATCTAAATAGGTATAAGGTTTAGGTTCAATCATAAACTCATCAGTATTCTTAAAATATAGTATCTAACTAACCGGAGCCCCGTTGAATGTGAAAGAGAGGGTGACCAACGGCCTGGACGGAGTCGTGCTGCAGTTCGCCTTGAGAGTGTCGCCGGGAGAGTAGTGGGCACGCTCCGACATGATCACCGGCTTATCCTTAGGTATGGCTGGAACGCAACAACAATCAAAGCACAAAACCTCGAGTCAACCACATATACTCTTGCAACAGCGACTCCCTTTTTCCCTCCGCAAGTGTACATGTTGTATATATGATATAGGGTAGGGGCAAGGGCGAGGGACGTGCGCGATGATCACGTCATTTTCCAGTTAGCCGCGGGAGCTCATCCAATTTTCGGGCGCCAAGAGCTGATTAAATCGGTGGAAAGGAGCGAGACGAAGCTGCTGTGCAGTGGCTGGGGGTGACTGGACTCGTGTGTGTGTGTATAATGTAATTGTTGGGAGTCGAGGCGAAAAATGAAATGGAGAAGGAAAGGCACGTACTTTTGCTGGTGTATGGAATATTGAAAAATTTTGGGGAGTCGCGGGAATAAATTGTTTGCTTTTCATTTAAATTGCATCGCGCTAGTCGTGCTGTTAAAATATAATGTCACCGATAATTTCTCGTCAAAACGATATACCAAAGGTTGGATTAATATTTCCAGTAATATTTTTTACNAAATTTATTCAGCCAGGGCGATCACTGGGCCCGAGCACCTTTGCACTGCTGATGCCCTTGGGATCAGTGATTATTCTGGAAGAGTTGCGCATCACTAATGAAAACTATTATTTCGACTCTACGAGCATGAAGTGCATGATTACCATAGAGTGCAAAGTGTGGCCTTGGGCGCAAAACAGTACTTTGTTTCTTTAGTAAGAAAAATGATGTTTGCCGTTTAGGTGCACGTGTACGACCATCACCCATCATGTTTTTTTAAGCTTGAAACTTTGCATGTAAATGCATTGATTTCAACATTTTTTGTAAGCTTGACGATCGGTCACCAAAAGCGCGGGTTGATTCACGCACCGATTATTCAATACTAGAGGAGCACAGCTTGTCAAACGGGCTTGTGTAGTCAATAAACGAATGGTGTGGGATAGTCGAGTCAAAATTTTGTTTGACTTGCAAATCGCGAACAAACATAGTGCAGGTGTTTTCTTTCATGCGTCGAGGTATGTGAAACAAAGGAAAGCCCGAAATAAACGAAGATAAACAAAACTACTCCACGTCACAGCCAAAACAATGACAACAAAAATTAATACGACAGTACTGTCAAACAAATGAACTCACATCTATCTGGATCCAGGTGTAGTTGAAAATTTTGATGGCGGGCGTCAGGCTGGGCAAGTACCTGTAGATCTCCTGTTCGCCGCGGTACCATTTGAGCGCGAAAAGGGGCTTGCCATCGAGGTCGTAGTGACAGCGCAGCGTCGCGTCGTGGCCCTGCTCCACCGCATCCCTCGGCAATATTTCCAGTCTGATGCTCCTCGAGTTCGCGTCTGAAAAATAAAGCGTATATTTGCTTGATTACAAAGGGTTGGAATTAATTATTTCATCAGAGCTACGGATCTGTATTTTTCATTATTTCTTTTTTTTTCCTACATAAAAAAGAGGGGCTTCATTGATATTTTCCGGTGCGTCAGTTAGAATATCGTTTGCTTCCTATTGAGGTGTTATCTGCAGGTGATAAATTTGGTGGACAATCGGTGTGTTTATGACGAGTCGAGCGAATAGCCACTCAAAAAACAGTGAGTCGAGAAAAGCGTGTAAAACGGAGCAAAGGGAGGAAAACCTACGGAAAACAAAGGGGAAGGCAACAACAATAGGGAAGGAAAAAAGGGGCCGGGAGCCAGAAAAACGAGGAAAATGCGAACTAGATGTGCACAAAGTTGGAAAAACTACCTTCCTCCCTCGGTGTCTTTCAGTGTTCCGAGTGAAAAGGAATCCCGCAAACGAAAGTGCGCTCCCACCCGTGCCGAGGGGATTTTGTTCGCTCCGTGCACATCTTTTGAGGCCACCACGGAACCGCCGCCGTCGTCGCACTCGTGTACTATGCTACAGCGTGTCATTATACGTAGTACTTATACTTATGTATATTGCTCAAACTATCGTGTTACTCACGACGAGGCTTTTGTTCAAACATTTGGCCTTCATGCGCAGGTGGTATTGTACACACTTGCAGGCGTGTTAACATGAAACGATGCACGCAAGAACGAAAAATTCGTATCGCTAACTACACATTCACTCATCTGTGCCACCTCGAAAGAAAAGTGTAGTGTATAATTGTACACGGACGATATCTCTTGTTATTTATATATATTCTGATGCTGCTTTTCTTTTACACATGTAGGACCATCAAATTTTTCTGCTTTTGTGTATTAATCCTTAAAAAACATTGGTGAGATCAGTATGAATAGAAAATTAGATGTGTGTATATGTATAAAGGGTCCTTACGTGAAAAAAGATAACTTAAGTACTATGTGGTAATTTTAGATTACAACAGCGGAGAGATACTTCTAAACTCCATTGTAGCCAAAGTGTGATTTTCGTGCACGCAATTGGTCATATCAATTTACATTTAAAAGCTGCCGATATCATATCTTAGAAAAGCACAGAGAAAAAAGCTCTACACGGTCTGCACTCGGCTGTTTGTCAATATTTTTTCCAACGAGTTATTTCATTTCATAATTTTTTCTTAACTCGCAGGCTTGTTTAGCTGTAGGTGTGTTTGCTTTATAGGTTTCTCGGACATCGGTATTCCCCTGGTATACGTGCGCTAGCATTGTGAAAACTACTATTCTTCCGTAAAGTGCAAAATTATCAGTGATGCAAAGGGTGTTCATGGACACAAAACAGTCAACGCAAATTTAAACCTTGTGAATGAAAATGGTACAGTTCGGGGACCCCATAGGTCTGACTCGTGCAAGTACGTACACACATAAAGAAACCGAACGTGTTGAAATTCCGATTAAAATGAGGGAACAATGGGCCACCGGCGACGTCTCGCGAGATAATACATCTATAGCCGCACGTACCTTCTCCCGTGCCCTCCACGCACGTGTGCCATACCCCCCTCCAGCCCTTGTCTACCGAATCCGTCCCTCTTTCACTCCATGCTGTGCCCAATTGGCCGAAAAATGAATGGCCTACGGCTTTTCGTTCCTACGATAAGTAAAGACAAAAGACCGTCTACGTGTGTATCGGAAAAGCTGGTACACAAGTACGGGGGAGGACGGTGGATCGGGTGCTTCGTCGGTTTCCAGGAAAGTCCCATCCGAGTTGGCTACAGCTTTTGAATCTCAAAGACGATCAAAGTTGCCTCGTTAATGTAGATGGTCGAAAATCCGGCAGGACATTTCCCCATCCATGGCTTTATCACGAACCGTGAGGGGCTTTGATGGGCGAACTTGTTACCTTGACAAACACACGTGTATCCATTTATTTTTCGCAATTATATTCTCTAAAAGTCGCGAAGCGTATAAGCGGATGAGTTTCGCGTCCAAGTTTACTTGAAAATTAATTATTGAAGTTTTATTTTTTTTTGAGCGACGGATATTTATAGTATAATGTGAGTCGTAAGTATGTTATTAAAGTGATGGAGTTAAAAACACTAGTATTCGAGTAAAACTGCATTGACGTATCGTTTTATGAATAGGTGAAAAACGTGCAATGAAGTAACTTTAGACCAATAATTGTAAGCTTTTTTATTAGGAGAAAATAAACTCAATATCCTGATCTTGGACTGCGACAGTATCAGCTGCAATAGTCGTCCCACCCCCACGTGGCAAATTGATTTTTAAAACGACGCAATAAAAATTCAAAGCTCGTAACGAGGCCACTTCCATTCCACTTTCTGAACCTCCTGATCACCAAGAGCAGCGCAGCACGAAAAATTTCTCCTTTTCCTTATTCGTGCGAGTGCATATACCATACCGTACACTTACACACAAGATCACACAAGATAGTATAACTATCAGGCGTCGTGTCATGGAGGGCTACTGCCCTCATGGAAATTTTGTTTTACCTTCGAAAGAGCTTGCAGGTACCACCACCACTGTGTACGTGCCCACTGCTCAGTAACAACTAACCCTGGGGAGGTCATATCTAATATGAATGTCGAAGAGCGAAGAATAATATCGCGTGGCAATCGCAACACCGTGAATTCTCCCTTTCGCTCCCTTGACACTGTACCTCCTCTCCCACCGACACCGAGCTTACATATCGATGTGAAAATTTAACGTATGCATCTGGGGAAATAACAGCGTTGCTTATATGTAAGGAAAAAAGAAAAAGAGAAGGAGTTCGGGTATATTGTGCCTCAGGAATCGAAGGACGTTTTGTTGTTCAACTGTTCTGTACTGTGTTGCTACAGAGTGTATTTTATAAAATTTGTACGAGTTCCCACAGCGAATGATTCAACTGCACCGTAGTATATTATAATGATGAGGCGATTCTTTTTTAATGCAAAATAAATCAAGTTTAATCCAATAAAAGTTTAGATAGACGCGATTTAAAAAAAAAACATACTGTTGGTACATTTTATTTCAGAGAGAAAATACTGTAGAATAAAGGAAGCGAATACGCGGGCATCAGTCTCCAAATATACTAACAGCAAGTGTAAAAGTGATATGTAGGTAGGATAAATAATCAGAAGTTAACTGGTATTGGAAAAGAGAGGTTAAAATTTTTTTGATCCAGCCCGAGGTGAGTCGAGACTTGAGAATTAATGCTGCTGTGCCTTTAATTACAATTTTTACTAAAAAAAATTAAGTCTTGCACTACCCCTTTCTTTCCTTCATTTTCTTGTACAATCGGATTGTACCAGAGGAAAATTTCCTAGTGAACCTCAAGGGTCTTTGTAATTTAAATGAGCAAAAATTAATTGTTTTCTCCACTCTGACCTCTTTCAATTTTCACAGCACAGAACGTGTAACAACGATACTAAGAAAAAAAAGTAGAAATTCCATGCATAAACAGTTTATGGGGATGAATGTTGATAAATATTATTACTGGTGGAGTTTCACACCTTAGATCGACATTTTTTAAGAATGGTAGAATATTGTACAAAAAACACAAATTTCTCGTTTCCTGTAAGTCATCCGAAATATATTGAAACAAGTTGTGAGAGAAAAAAATATAATACGAAAACTAGTTAGAAAAGGAGCGAATAACTGTTGGCTAACCATTACTTTTTTTGGTTGAAGGAGAAAAGCCGTATCCAAAGCTTTGAAGAAAACAATAGGTGTTTCAAAGGACTTCTGTTTGAAGGGCCCACGACTTCCCATTTACCATAGATATTATTCATTTTAATGCTTTGAAATTGTGGCTGCCCAAACCAAAGTCCTTGTATATACAATATATACCTGAATCGCACTTGATCCTTTACCGTTTCTACTTTGCTTCGTACTGTGTATGTATCACTTTCTATTTTATTTCTGATTTAAAGTAAAAGCAGCAATATCACACCACCAAATTATCAGGAAGAAAAATTATTTGCAATCATTTGCAAAAATTGGTAGTACAATCAATAAAATGTTGTGAAATTAGTTTTAAATCGATAGTTCGACGCTTTCCACTCACAATTTCGTTGCTCACAGGTTGGAACCATTAAATTAGCCATTTTAATTCATTGAATAGGTAAGGTAATTGTTTGACTATATTGAATCATTGCTTACAATTTTTGTAGTTGATACAACTGATTTTTTTTTCCAATTATGGAGAAAGGTGTTTAATATCCAAAAGCTATGAAAGCAACGCAGTTGGGTATTTATAAGTTGTAAAGTTTTAAAGAATAGATGCACCAAGAAAATAATAATAGGCACATGGTAATTTTCATTTATTACTGTTAAATCCTTCATTGAAAAAAAAATGTTACGATATTTGTAATGATTGAGGATGGCATTAACACTGATAAAATGTCTTATTTGCTACACGTTGATTAATTCTTTTCAAATCGTATAGATAATGATCATAGTAGGTGCGCCGTTAAATAAATAGTGGACTATACTCTTTTCAATAATTATTCCAAAGAAACTAAAAACGTTTCTTATGCACAACAGTGCATTAGCGAGCGAGTGCAACTCCATTGAAATTAAACTTTTCATATTTTTGCAATGTGACAATAATTTGTGTTAGTGAGTTATGATTATCATGGTACAGAGAAAATTTATCATACATGGAAAAAATTGCAATTTTAAGGTACGATGACTAGGTGCCATTCAACATTCAAACAAATTTCATTAAGCAAAAAAGAGGGTAAACTTTTTTCTCCTTGTGTATCTGCTATTTCTTTTTTCAACATATATATTTTATTACACGGTTACATACATGAACCAACTGTTTTCCAACTACCCCATCTAGATCCACGGTAATCGTACGAGGGAGTGGGAAAACTTCCAGTGCCATGGAAGAATATAATCGTATTGGCAAATTAATGAGTTCATATAGTTACAATATAAAATGATAAAATTTCATCCTTTTGTTATCTTGCCCACTGTTT